CATACAATGTAAGAAAGTAGACGGAAAGGAGAGGGAGACGTGCTGAGTACACTCCTCTTGTCTTATGTGCTCTATCTCCCTAGCAGTTATGATTTGTAATTATATATTTGTAATGTTACAGAGGGAGGGATTGTGTCTATTTTGCCACGGTTACAAACCCAATGCCTAATCTATTGTGTGGTCCATGGCGGACCGTTAATGATTGTTGATTGAGTGAATGGATGGTTGAGCTGGGTATAGAAGTCGGCTCTGAGCATGAAACATGTACTGTATCATTTTCAGCAGTGTGACCAGTGTTAAGAAGTTCTGAGTCAAGAGCAGGAAAGCAGCCTGGGTAGCAGGGGTAAGAGCTGCGGGGGGGGGGGGGGGGCGGCGAAAACTGGCCTCATCATTTCTCTCAATCTACGGACAGTTACGAGAAAGGTCCCATCGAAATCTCAATAACTCCGCGTTCTTTGGAAGAAGCTTTTCCTTTAAAGAAGCTTTTGGTATTAAATGTTTGCCACCTGTGTCAGTGGATTTCCAGGATTGTAGAATCCAGAGGCAGTGTGATACAAGAGAGTGTGGAAGCGAGAGTTCGGGACCCTGGCTTCCCATGCCAGCTATGTAACTGATGCGCCCTGACCTCGAGCAAGTAACTGCCCCCATCTGAGGCTGTCTGCATCTGCTAAATGGGGACAAATAACACCTGCTCTGCTTGCCCTTCAGGATGATTATGAGGGCCACATGCAGTAATATGCAAAAGGTGCTTTCAAGCTGTGATGTACGATATTATAATGAGGAATTGTAATGGTTCACTGGGAACGCGAGGCGAGAGCAGAAAGGCAGAGGCTAAATTTTCTCAGGGAGGTTTCGTCTCCCTCTGCTAATACCGATTTCTGAGAAACCTGCTTCCTCTCCAAGGAGTGGAGAAGCTCCCAGGGTAAAATCAGTGTTTGCAGAAGCTACCGAAGTAAATCCTGCCACAGCGTGAAGTCTTTCCACTGCTCAAATGGGCTCCTGGGATACGTACCTCCACTTCCATTTCCCGACCAAGACTTTCCTCTAAAAATATGGAGAAAGTAGACTCTCAGACTCATCTAGTTAGGGGGGAAAATAAGGCTAATTTACTTTTTCCGATAGTTAAAATGATAAATGTTCATTGTAAACAATTTGTAAGATACAGAAAAAGAGAAGAAAAATATCACCCATAATCTTAGGACCCAGTAGCTAACATTTTGGTATATTTGCTGGTCTTCTGTTTTCATGCATATCTTTTGGTTTCATATGAGGAGCAAAGGAAGATGTGGAAGAAATGACAGGCATTCATGGCTTGGCATGTGGCTGGTGGCTAAGAAGAAAAGTATTCAGATCCTAGTTCTTCTCCTCAGAGGCATTTAATGAGTGGAGTGAAGCGGATGTGGCATCTGGCCATACTTTTTCTACTTTTATTTCATTTCACTTTTTTTATCTGTAAAATGAGGACCATCACTGTCTCAGATGATAAGAATATTACCTGAATAACTTTTAGAAGCACAATATCTGGTACATACCATGTGCCTAATAAGTGTACGTTTCTTTTGTATTGGTAAGAAGTTATCATTTATTGTGAGGCACTGCTCTAAGTGCTTTGCATATATCAATTCATTTAAGCCTCACAACTACCCTCTGATGCAGGTGCCACTGTCCTGTTTTATGGAGAAGGAAACGGAGGTTAAGCAGCCTGCCCCAGGTCAAACACCTACTAGGTGACAGAGCCTGAACAGGAGCCTGAGCAGCGGCTCCAGATCCATGTTGCTCACACACATCACACAGCCTGCCCCTAATCAGAGTGGATGTACAGTCAGGCCCTGAGCGTTTTACAGAATACCAAACCCTTCCAGTGGGGGAGTTATTATCAGTTTAACTATAAGGCCTTGCATGAGGGCCCTTGGGCGAGGGGATACAGGCTTCAGTAGGTGGGAGGGTTGAAGCCTAAAGTGAATCGGAACAGATTAAATATGTATTAGGTTAAAAGTTTGGCTTTTTTCCCTACCCACCCCTTTTCAGCCTTTGTGCAAGGCTGACATAGAAATCATTGGCTAAGATCTGCCGATAGTTAAGCTTACGGTTTCAGGAAAAAAATCAAATATGCTGAATGCCAGTGGAATAAGTCATACATGCGGATTCATTTAAGTGCTTTCAGGGGAAATGAAGTGAGAAAAAGCAGCAGCAAGAGAAACGGGAGGTACAAATGGACGCGGATCTGAGACACAGATGTACACCTACGCATGGCTGAAGGGTTAAGGATGACCCTCCTGTAATAACCAAGCTGCCAGACCAGAGTGGGTGAGCCAAAGACAGAGAGGTTTTGTTATGCCTGTGATGGAAAGCACCAGATAGGATACAGGCCTGAGGGGATACAGAACAAGCTTCCTCCATGGTCCATAATGAATTAAAAAGAAGAAAAAAAAAAGGAGAGTAATGAAGGGACAGTGACCCAGAGGTTAAGCCTGAATATATAGGTCCCAAAAGGTCAGTCACAGGAACAAGGGGATTTTAAAGACAGAGCAATTTATTGAGAATGTGAAACTTTTGATAAATGCTCAGCCACCAGAAAATGAAGAACAGCTGTGTTAGCGTTAGAACAGAAATCTATACCCACCAGTATCAGTTCTTAAAAACTTCTTGCAGACACTCAAGAAGCCGGGAATATAGACCTTCTACACTTTAGGAGACTGAGGGGACAGGTGCTGGGAGCTTATGGCGATGACACTAGAGGCAGGATAGGGAGATGATAGCAAGTCCGGCTTCATGCATGATGGACATGGAGTAGGATACAAAGAAAAAAGACACATGGGAAACCAAGAACATGGCTTTAAATAGGGCAAATTATGATAATGAGTACACAGATACACCCAGCGTAAATCCAAAGGAATTTCTCCAAAAGGCTACCCCTGGCCTGCACCCGGAGAAAACGATGTCCAAACCACAAACATGAAGGACAACTGTGGATAACCCAGGAGAGAGTGATACCTTTCAGAAATCTGGAAGTAGCCCCATAAGGTGGAAGTTTGTTTCTGTATTTTTCTACTTTGAAGCTGTTTCATTCATTCTACAATGTTGTTTCGGTAGTTGGGTTGTGGGGTTTTTTGTTGTTGTTGTTGTTGTTTGGTAGGTTTTGTTTATTTCGGTTTTGTTGTGGTTTCTTTTTGTGGGTTTTTTGGGGGTGTCTTTAACCATTTGTACACCATAAGCATCTATAGACACAAGCGGCAGACCTTTTTTAATTAAATTCAAAATATCGGGGTAGTTAACTGGTTCAGTAAAAACACTGTAGCTTTGAGTATCTTTTAAGTAAAAATAAGCTCATTTGGTAACATGTTTAATTAATGGCTCCATCATCACCCTTCTCTACCTATTCTGTCCAAATCTGGGTTAGTGATCCCAAGGCCTTCAGAATTTGTGACATAATGTGAAATTACTAAACTGGGAAGAAGAAGAAGGTTGTCAGTAATTTTCATAATGAGTATGATTCCATGTGTGGTTTGGCCAGGATATGTACCACCTCTCAGTGTCTCCGTTTGTTCACCTGGAAAATAGGGCTAAAATATTAGTTCTTCTAGAAAAGTTATGAGAATAACTCTTGACATAGGGGAAAGTACACATAGCTTTAAAAGGAAAGGCTTGACTAACCTGCCCCAGTCACGTGGTACCCTTGTAGCACCATATTCTGATGAGATCAAAGCGTGGCAGCCTTGGCTGATTCCAGTCTGTCCTGAGGCAGGTAGAACAAAATGTGATTTTGGAGACAGGCCTAGATACAGTAACTGGCAAGGGGAGAGAAGGGCCAAGTGAGGATCCCAATTTGGGGGTCATTGGGACGAAAGGCTTCCCACCACTGATTCCAGGACTGTTTTCCACCTAGATTGACTACGGAATCTCAAAGCCAGAAATCCTAAATTTGGTGGGGGGAGTGATGTGCAGGAGGTGATGGTGCTTAGGTATAATTAAGGTAAAGATGAACTTGAGCCTAGAAACGGAAACTCCTCGCTGACTCCCAAATCTTGAAATGACAAGAAATCAGTACGGTTCAGTGATCCCACCCCTCAGCCAAGGCCTGTGCAGAGGAGAAACAGCATGTGCTCGCACCATCTCAGATGCCTGCTTCCATGATCTGTGAGGGGCAGACCAGTCAGCTCTCAGAGGCTTAGACCTTCGGAGACAGACACTGAAAGCGCACCGCCGGTACCCAGCCAAGTGGAATGTGGCAAACCCGCTTCAGAGCCCGGTGCCAGGCCAGGCCGTCGGATCAGGGGAGGCCTTAGGGGTGTGGTCGGGGCATTTGGAAATTCCACAGCCAAGACTCCCCTAAGGAGAAATATGTCCGTTCCCATGGCACAATGTGTTGGCCACATGGGGCTTAACATTTTTCTCTGACTCCCTGGGAGTAAGGAGGAACAAGTTATGGGGATGGTGTTAGGGAACTGGGGGTTGGGGGGCAGGGGGGATTTAAGTGGACACACACGAGGCTTGCCTGCAGGGCAGTGGAATCCAAACCATCTGAAATAGCTGGGGCTCAGGAGCTGGCGTGTGCTGTGCGCTGCCACCCGCTGAACAGAGCAGGGCTGCTCCACGTGCAGATGTTCTCCTGAGAGGTGTGGCAGCGGGCGTGGTCTCAGGAAACCGCCTGTCTGACCCTTGGCTTCAGTGAGTTCACTGGCCAATGGATGCTGAATTATAGGGGCGTGCACCTTCATAATAGCTAGTGTATCTTCCGCCCGCCTTGGTTGGGAAATCTGTTATTCGGAGATTGGCAGTGCATGCTGGTGCTTCACAGAAACATAGAAGTGGATTTGCCTGCTTTGGGGCAGAGAACTTCAGTGGCTGCAGGCTTATAACTTTGCTCTTAGCTGTGTTGTTTTGCTCTAACTCCAGGGTTGATTTTCACGCGTGCTTCTTGTTAGATTCCTTTGTGCCCTTGCCCACGAACACCATCACGCTCAACTTCCTGTTTCCTATTTTTTTTTTTTTTTTGCCAGAGATGCGTGTGCAGCACCGGGTCCTGCAGATACTGGCACCTCTGACTCCTTCAGCCCAGAGCACCTCACCTCTGACCCCCAGCACAGGAAAGCGGCATGGTCAGGAGGAGCTAAGCTTCGGCTGAAGCACAGGTAGGAGGCGCAGAGGTCTGTACCAAGTCGTTCAGAAAAGGGACTGGAAGAGGGAACTGGGGGCAAGGCTGGTGAAAATATAGGCTTGTGAGAGTGGCAAGGAGAGGCTGAGCAAAACGGCCAGAAGCTCACAGTTCAGAGGATAATATCTTTTTTTAAAAATATATTTTATTGATTTTTTTACAGAGAGGAAGGGAGAGGGATAGAGAGTTAGAAACATCAATCAGCTTCCTCCTGCACTCCCCCTATTGGGGATGTGCCTGCAACCCAGGTACATGCCCTTGACCGGAATTGAACCTGGGACCCTTCAGTCAGCAGGCCAACGCTCTATCCACTGAGCCAAACCAGTTAGGGCGAGGATAATATCTTAATGGCAGTCTCCAAATTAGGTTCTGGAGAGCCCAAAAGTTCCTGGGACATAACCCAGGGTTCCTCAAATCATATGATTCAAAAACTTTAAAAATATATATCCACCATTGTTTTTAAAACTATAATGAAAATCACTTAACCCTTTTCGGTCCAACGTGGAGGCTGACTCAACAGACCAGGCGCCAGGAGCTGAGGTCTAGTGAGACAGATAACTTCAACATTCAATCCTGTCAATTAATTTGGACCAGACTGTTTGAATTCCAAAAATAAAATTGGACCGCAAAGGGTTAAAGTAATATACCAACATCTTATACTTTGGAAATGACACAGTGTGTCAAATTGTGCAGCAAGATTAATTCATCTTTGAGCTGATATTCATGTAAAACTCTTCTTATCTCTAATAGAAGAATGTCCTGAGATTACTAAGTTAGCCTAATAAAAATTTGCAGCGACTTATCTATGCTTCTACGTGCTAGGTGGTGTGCTAGGCCTTGGCACATGACATCAAATTCTCATACCAGTCCTGTGAGGTTTGCACTAGGACTCTACTAGGAGGTGGTGGGTTCAAATTCAGACCGTTTCGCCAAGCTCATAGCCACTATACTTTATGGCCCCAACAGCCTGCATAACAGAACCTGTTTCATAGGACAACCATGGCAATTCAACGAGTTAAGGTATTCAAAGCACTTAGCACAGAGCCCACTCATCGGAAATGGGAACTAAATGTTAAGTAAAATAAATATCAGATAGTAGTGTAATATGGTTATCTTACTGTGTAACTGCAGGTGTCTTATTAAGCTCTCACAGTTTGCAGTCTGCAAAATGAGTTTAATAACTAATAATAGCGTTGCTGAAAGGATTGAAAGTGCTAATACACATGAAGCACTCTGGCGGTGCCCAGCACGTCATCGCACTCAACCGATGTTACTATTGATGTCAAGAACCCTGATTTCAGTTGGGGATTCTCTCACTTGGACACATGAATTTGCATTATAAACATGTAATCATGTTTGATCCTCGTGTTTCCTTAGTCTCCTCTAATCTGTAATTTCCTCAGTCTTTCCTTGCCTTTTATGACCTTGACACATTTGAAGAATGTGAGCCACTTATTTTGTAGAATGTCTTCTCTTTGGATTTGTCTGATATTGTCCCATGATTAGACTAAGGTTATACATTTTTGGCAAGAATACCTCAGAAGCGATATGTCCTCCTTCGTGTGTCCTAGTAGAGATTATCTAGTGTCAATATATTTTATTACTGGTGGTGTTAACCTTGATTACTTGGTTAAGGTCTCTCCAGTCTAGTTATTTGTATCTTTGTAATTAATAAATATCTTCAGAGACATAACTTTGAGGCTATGCAAATATCCTGCTTCTCCTCAAACTTTTCTCCCACTGATTTGAGTATCCATCCGTGGAATTGTCTGCAGCCATTCTTACTGGAATGCTCTAAAGATGATTCTATATTTCCATCTACACTTACTCATTGGAATTCTTCTGTAAGGAAGTGCTGTCACTTTCCCCCACTTACTTACTCAGCTGTTTATATCAGTGAGGATTCCTTCACGTATCAGTCATTTTGTGGGTTATAATCCTGTACTGCTATTTCTTACTTTATTGTTCCAGATTTGGTCATTGGGAGCTCTTTCAACCTGGCTGTGGTCTAAATCCTGGTTTGAAATATGGAAAGGGGTAAGGTACTGCTGTCTTATTCACATACAGAGAGCAGACATGATGGGCTTATCATCTAAGGGTCTTAAAATGTTGGGGTATGAGGTTAGAAGTGGGCATTGAGCAGGTGTGACAAGTCATGGAAGCCTGTACACTGATCTTGGAATTAAAAAGTGCTTGGGTCACCCCATGAGCCAATTCCAAGTCCAGTGGGCTATAGGTATCTATAGCTCCCTTTTCATGGGGGGGGTGTGGGGGGGAGCCAGGAAGTATTTCTCACTTATTTATAAGAAAAGAGCAAAAGGAGCAACCTGCCTTCCCAGGTGTATACAGGGGCCAGCCAGACAACCAAGTTTAAGACAGAGAATCTTAGGCCCTGGCTGGGTAGCTCAGTTGGTTAGAGCATTGGCCCAATACACCAAGGTTGTGGGTTCAATCCCCAGTCAGGCACATACAAGAAACAACCAATGCTTCATAAATAAGTGGAACAACAAATTGATGTCTCTCTTTCTCTCTCTCTCTCTCTCATCTCAAATTAATAACATTTTTTAAAAGTTATTTAAGAGAGAAAGAGAGGATCTTAGTGGCCCAGGGCTTACTAATCTCATAGATCCAATCCCATCCTTCTATAACTTCTCTCATAACTAATTGAGTAGGAATCCGGTGATCTAATTTACCTTAGCAGAAACTTCTCCTTAAACAGATGCGTCAGGCCTTAGGCTAGGATAGTTTGCTGAGTTGGTAAAGGAGACAAAATGTTCTAGCTTAAAACTCAAGATTTTCCAAGCCAGTCCTTTCCTCCACGAACTTCTCATCCCTTCTTCACCTTCCACCACCAGTCACCGCCATCATTCTAATAATGGCCTCACCTAACTATTAAGCATTTACCCATATGTGGTGACGTGCTTTGTACTCCATCAAGTAAATCAAGACGAACAGATGATAGAAACTCAGGGCTTGACTCCTAATTCACTCTCAGTGAGCAGCAAGGTTAGTTCAGCCGGCACTTTGCACTTCCCTTGGCAATGAGTCTGCCTCCCTGATGATACTGACTTCGCTCGGAGGCCTTGGTGGGCGTTGGTATGGAACCCCTGCCTTAGTAGCCTCCCAAACTGTGGGAAGCTTAAAGCAATTAACTCCCTTTTGCAGACAGTGGCATTTTTGCATGTGGAGGAGGGTGTGGGTTTAGCAGAGAAGATCATTCAGGGAAACTTCCTGATTTTAGTTTGATGAATTTCTATCAGCAGATGATGTTCCTTGCTTCCCTCCTCTTCCTGCCCGCAAAACAGAATTCTGGCATTTTTAAGCTGCATGCTAAGATGCTGGTTCTCTCAGGAAAAATTACTCAGTGGTGCCCTGCTGAGCTGCTCCTCATTTGTCTTTCCTCTTCTAGAGCAGGAACTGAACTTTAATTGGCCAGTTTACAGAGGTGACTGGGCATGCGATCCCTCCCACTTGCACTAAGCTTGGCGAGTTCAGGCTGTCTGGGAGGAGCAGAGAGAGCAGGAACGGGGTACAATGGCTTTTTACCCACCCTGAATATGACACTCAGGTGGCCAGAGGGTCGCTATCTAGGATGTTTCTGTTTGCCACAAGGTAAGGCCTCTCTTATGTTAGAATAAGAGTTAGTTCTTTCATTGCAGGATTCTCAATGGACAAGCCCATCACAGGTGTCTGTCTGATGTTGTGCTATATCTGTTTATAAAGAAAAATAGCCAACCTTATGTTAAGTGTAAGCCCATTTCTCTAAATTGTCATGAAAATTATTATTTGAGTACCTCATGTAAGCCAGTGTACTATTCATATTTCTGGAGGGGGGTGGATTTTCAGCCATTCTCTCTCCCACATATACTGTCGCTGTATTTTTTTATGATGTGTCTATTTAGAGTGGCTTTTATGTATTTATTTCTATTGATTGATTTTAGAGACAGAGAAGAAAGGGGAGAGTGAGAAACACCAATTTGTTATTCCACTTACTTATGAATTTATTGGTTGGTTCTTGTAATGTCATGACCAGGGATCAAACCCACAACCTTGGTGTAGCAGGATGACGTTCTAACCAACTGAGCTACCCGGCCAGGGCTAGAATGCCTTTTAATCTCCTTCAAATTAGCAATTGCTTTGTATTGTGTACTCCACGGATTTACTTCCCCATTTCCCTGGGGGATTTCTGTTTCTCAAAGGGAAAGGCTACTTATCTATGTAGTAGTAGTCAAGTTCTCTATTCTCCTTGCCAACATTTGCATAAAGAAATGAAACCCGTGAATATAGTCTCAGTTTTAAAGAAAAGGTACAGTCTTCTCAGGCACCTTCGAGTTTACATGAAAAGGAGTGTTGATTGCGGATGCCAGTCTTACATTCTTTAACTCCATTCTAGTTAAAGGTTTAAATTCTTGATTATCTTTTCCTTTATTCACAAAGTTCCGCTTTTATCCTTATCATCTTAATTCAAAATTTTTGTTCAGAGTTATGCTTAAAGCCATGCCTCTAAGGATGCCTTTTATTTAAGGAACAGGTGGCTACAACAGTCATGGTAATGTTCTAGATCTCAAGGTGACGTGAATATTTACTTTATTATTATGGGCACTCATTTTATTATTATTATACCTTGTAAAGGGTAAAAAAGAAAATATATGAACTCCTTATATTATAAGACTCATATATAGAGAGAGGGGTCACAGGGCTGCTTATTAAGCTTTATTTGGCATCCTTTCATTTGAAAGTAACAGAGAGCATTCTTCTGAATTTTATTATTTTCTCCCCAGCAGTGTCAGGTTATGAGTGAGTGTTGGTGGAGTTAAACTTCTTGTTGTAAGATTTAACATGGACGTAGGTAAGGAGTTGGAGCAAGTATTCTTAAAGCTTTCAGCTTCTCTGCCTTACAAACCTTCACTGTTCTTTTATTCAGGTTCCAATATTACTTGAAAGCTTTATTTTTAATGAATAGTTCTTTTCCAGTATGATTTTTAAGTATAG